CCCACCAACTGGTATTGCATTGATAATACATACTTCGTACTTATTACTGCAAAAGAAAATTCGAACTTAATAATACATACTTCGTATACAATAAGGCTATAGGGATCGGGAGCTTGCCAGGTCCATTCCTGTGTAAAAGGCGACAGAAGCATGTTCTTGTGTACCAATCTTAGTATTCACATTAACATCTCCATTAGTCTGTGTACCAGAGCCATTGGTGTTATGTCCCGAATTCGCCGAAGATAATAACCCGCCAATACCAGCATTACCACCACGAATAAAATCTGGGACATTAAAAATCATTTGTCCAACCTGATACATATTCGCCGCCGCCGGCACTACACCCTGCTGTGGCGCCACCTTTTTATCAAATGGTATCGCCTTACTGTTATTAGCAATATTTTTATGAATTATGCTATTACTATTAACAATATTGTTATTGTTACGAATATGAGTCTGATGAACAACTTCGACGATCCACCCTGCACTACTTAAATTCCACCCTTGCATGGTATAGAATTTAGTTTGAACATAATTTAGCATCTTACCTTTGAGGCAGAGTCCATCAAGATCTTCTAAGGTATAAGAAGAATAATGTTTAGGCATGAGCTTAGCCTTAACTTCCTTGACACTATTAGTACCATCAATTAGCGCGTTCTTCATTTCAACGTAAAAGTCCCCTGCACCATCTCGTACAGGCCAATTTTCTTGTTTCGAATAAATCGAAATCAAGACTTGCAGAGTATTGACAGTGTGGGCAGTACTCGGCGCCCCAGCCGTCGAGGTTAGACGTCGTCTAATAGTGAACACCTTGCCGTAGATGCTCTTGAGAAGGACTTTTTGAGCCCCTAACCAAGTCACTCTCCACTCTGTACTTTGTGGTATAGGCTTATCTTTATCATGATGATAATAGAAGCTGATCGATTTTTCATCTTCATCAGCGTTTAAGTATCTACCTTTCGATGATTTGAGCCGTATCACCTCGATGGATTCACTTTGATAATCCATCTGTGTTCAACTAATTTTCTATGATATTTGCTTGAATACAACTCCTTATTTTTTAGTTTTGGCTTGGTATTGTTATATACTAAGTCTAGGGGTTAAATTCGTAATTAAACTAACATGAATATTTTACTTTAACGAAAACGTGAAGGTGTCGGGAAATTTTCGATTTGATTTGGATGTTTCAATTTTATATGAGTATTTTTTAACTGTATTTTGTTCAATTTTGCTTGATTTTAGTAAATTAGTCTTTATGTGTAATTTTTGCTCGAAATTCTACTCTTCTTGTTGTTCTTCACCTTCTTAGTAACACGATTTTTGTGTTATTGATTTTAGTAAATTAAGTTTGGGTAAAGTTAGTAACGTGGATGTTTGATTATGATGAAAATAGCTTAAATTAAGATAATCACGTTTAATTTTTTATATTAAGGTGCTTGATTGATTTAAATTGAGCATACTTGTTTTTGTTGATTTTAATTGAAATGGAGAATTGGACAGACGCAGCATGTAGTGACAGAATTAGACACACACACGCTGTGTTTGATTGTGTTGCTGTCAAAGACTTGTGGGATGCAGCTAATTGCACACAATTGTTTGGCTGTCATAAGGAGTAAAGCATGATTGTTTTCTGGCAGAAATTTAATCCCAAATTGGTGCGAAAAGGCGTGGCTCTAATGTGGTATATTTGGGGTTGTAGGAATGATAAGATATTCAATAACAAGGACACTCCTCATCATCCTGTTATTATTGAGAGAACCCTACGATTTGTGGAGGACTTTGATAAGTACTCTGATAAGATTTATGGGTTAGAAAACCCTCTGCTGGAAGTATGTCAAAGAGCTAGAAGGCACCTACAGTAGGAGTGCTTAAGGCTAATTGTGATGCTTGATCTTGTGGTCAATTGGAGTGCTTACGACTGGCTAGGTGAATGAAGGTGGCTGTTAGTTGTTGCAGGAATGCGTAGCTATTATGTATATAGCAATCTTAATTTAAATATTGTAACATTGATGTAGTTACCTTATTTTTGTATATAGTGACCTTTATTTTGTGTATAGTGACCTTTATGTAAATAGAGTCAAAAACTCAAAATCGATATAGTTACCTTATTTCTGTACATAGTGAACTTTATGTAAATGGTGTTAAAAACTCAAAGTCGATATAGTTACCTTATTTCTGTACATAGTGACCTTTATGTGAATGTTGTCAAAATTGATATAATTACCTTATTATTGTATATAATGACCTTTGTGTAAATATTGTCAAAATTGATATAGTTATGTTAGTTTTAAATATAGTGACTTTATGTAAATGTCATCAATTAGATAAAGTTACTTTATTTTTGTAATGTAGTGACCTTTAAAACGATCGAATTGATTATATGTAAGGTTGGAAAGATCTTAGGCATTTTAAACCGTCTGATCTTTTGTGCTAATAATGAATGGTTGAGATTTGTTGTTTTCAGCATAAGCCTTGTTTTCAGCATGAGCCCTGTTTTCAGCGGAACCACCCCGTATATATATATATATATATATATAATATATATATATATATATATATATATATATATATATATATATATTATTATATATATATATTATATATATATATATATATATATATATATATATATATATATCTTAGGACCCGTGCTATGCACAGTAATTTAAAAAAAGGGTTTCTAAGCTATGCCCCTAAGGTAGTCGAGTTTCTAAGGTGTACCCATGCCTTTTCAAATTAGAAAAACCCTAAAATAAGTTATATATATATATATATTTAATTAGAACTATAATCGACATGACACAGCTATAACATATACTAGGTTGCGTTTAGTTTCTTCTTATTGTTCAAATACACCCAATGGGTAGGAATAATAATCTCGTTTTAATGATATTTGATCAAATTTTTTTCCATAACAAAATATAAAAATATGAAAATATTTAAGAAAAAAATTTAAAAATTACATACATAGATTAGAGTTCATAATATTTATAATGTTAAGCTATATTATATACTCCCCTCATCCCATTATGTTCTTCGTATATATTATAATTAGGTGAGAAACCAATTAAAATATTTACAAACAAAAAACAAAAACAAAATTCCAATTTTATATTAAAAAAAATTCTAATCAAAATATTAAGAACATAAAAAAATCCCTCAAAAAAAAAAAACATAAAAATTGCACTAGAACTTAAAGTATGGTGCAGCTAATACACTTTTGTCATAGTGGAATACATAAATAAGAAATATATAATAAATAGCTAAAAATTTTAAAAATAGAATAGTTATTTTTGTCCAAGAGTTAAATAAAACAATGTTATATCTTTGTCCAAGAGTTAAATAAAACAATGTTATATCTTTGTCCAAGAAATAATTCGGTTTTTTTTTTTTAGGAAAAATACTTCGTAAGTTATTAGTACTTAAGTAGGAAGATTTCTAATAAAAATACTATTTTGAACTTTCTCAATATAATAATAATAATAATAATAATAATAATAATAATAATAATAATAATAATAATAATGAAATATATATCTGTGTTAAGCTGCTTGGTGGTCCCTCTAGTTTCGATTCTAATTTTAATGGTGAGCTTGTGATGTAGAGGGTGACCAAGACTATTGCCCTTATGGATAAGGTCGCTATGTTAGATGATCCTCAGTGTGAGCTGTTGTTACTTAGGGCATGTACCGTAGTTTCTAAACTCTACTTTGCATTGCGTACTTGTCCTCCTAGTACTTTTGAGGCGGCTCAGCGCACTTTTGATGGGGCTCTTCAATCTTCCTTGGAGTGTATTGTTACTGCTTCAGATCGTGGGCCTGGGTTTGGCAATTGGCAGTGACAACTTGCCACCTTACCATTTGCGTTTAGAGGGCTTTTGGTGTTTATTTTGCAGGTGATGTTTGTCACTATACTTTTCTTGCTTCTCGGTTGCAGTCTGTTGGGTTGCAGACACAACTTCTACAGCATGTAGACATTGTTGGTCTTGGACGAGCCTTTGAGGATATGTTGAGTTTGTTTAACGAAACGGTGGAGTATGTCAATTTAAGTAATCCTAGTGAGGTCGCTGCCCCTAAACTCATGAAGAAATTGGCAGATATATATTTCACAAAGGTTATCGCTTCTGCAGAATCTGCTTATTCTTCAACACCTCAACAAATCAGCATTATGGAAATCACATCAGGGAGATCACGCCTTTGCTCGACTTCAAGTGGTCCCTATTTCGGGGTTGGGTCAGATGATGAATGCTAAGACTTGTCACTGTGATACCGGTTGGGTGTTCCATTGTTCTCTATCACGACGTCGTGCTCTACTTGTTTAAGGGTTTTTTATGGGGATATTTTCGGTGATCACGCGGTGTCTTGTGCTGGTATTGTGGGCATTAAATATCGGCATAATTTTGTTCGGGATACCCTTGTTGATGTTTGCTATCGGTCGGGATTTCAGCTAGAAAGGAGGTGGACATTGGACTATCTGGAGGGAACAACGACGGGGTCTTCAAACTTGCAGATGTGTTACTTTATTCCTAGCATTGTGCTCCCGAGTCTGTGTTGACTTGACAGGGCCTTCTCCTTTGACATAGTGTGGGCTATCTAACTTTGAACCTGGACGGGTATTTATTGATGCAGCCAAACAGAAGCGGGTCAAGTACGGATACAGTTGTCGAGCAATTGGATATGGCTACCTTCCTTTCTCTTTCTCTTCTTTTGTGGAGTTAGAAAAGGAGGTTGTTGCAATACTGGAGCGGATCCAGAAGTTCTCAAAGACGCTGGACATTAGGGCACGTGCTGCAGCTCATATCTTCTCTAAGATAAGATTGCTATAGATAGAGGAGTAAGGGCCCAGATTGTATCTCGGTTACCCACTAATTTTTTTATATGTTGTATGACTAAATCTATTTTTGAGATATAATAATAATAATAATTATTATTATTATAATAATAATAATAATAATAATAATAATAATAATTTTTGAGACCTGCCGATGTGTTACTTTATTCATGGATCGTGGTCGTGATGTATGTGTCGACTTCACAGGGTCTTCTCCTTTGACACAGACAAGGCTATTTGACCTTGTTCCGAGACGGGTTGTGGATGATGCGGCTCATCGGAAGCGGGTAAAGTATGAAGCTCGTTGTCAGGAGATTGGATATGGTTTCATTCCCTTTTCCTTTTCTTCGCTTGGGGATTTAGAGAAGGAGGCTGTTGCGTTGCTGAAGCGGATTCAAAGGTTCTCGACGACGCAAGACATTGGGGCTCGTGCTGCAGCTCACATATTCACTAGGGTAGGCTTTGCTATAGATAGAGGAGTGGGGGCCCATATTGTATCTCGGCTTCCCACTAATTTATTTTAGGTTGTATGACTTTTGTTTTTGAGAAATAATAATAATAATAATAATAATAATAATAATAATAATAATAATAATAATAATAATAATAATAATAACAATAACAATAACAATAACAATAACAATAACAATAACAATAACAATAACAACAACAACAACAACAACAACAACAACAGTAATACATTCATTGGGTTTTTTTAAATATATATTGTATCACAATAACCCTATTTAATAAAATAATTCATATTAATAATTATAAAGAATAAAATTTATGTATTGTGCTATTTAAAGATATGGTGGAGTATGTGAATCAAAAATACCATAATTATATGATTTGGTGAATAAAAAAATATAAGATATAAAGTAGTAGATTAGTGTAGAAACCCATTTGTGTCTCCCCAAAACCAAACCCAGTGATGAGTACCTTTCATGTTGAATCATAATCGAATGAAACGAAAGTGTGGAAAGGTCTAGTGTTGCGGAAAGTTTTAATTTCTTTTCTCTTCTTTCTATTTTTGAAAACTTATTTTAAGAAAACAGCCAATCCAGTTTGGTTGGTCCATGATATGGGTCCAATAGTAGTGTAGTTGGATGGGGCTTGCAAAGACCTTTCCAACGATATATTATAAGCCCAATTTCGATGAATATTGAGGAAATTATGGCAAATTACCAAACTGGGCCCGGTTTGAGCTTTATGTACGGCCCAATGATCTTGGGGAGGGCCTAATATGATTTATCATTCCTAATGCAATTATGAATGATTTTAGTCTTCTAGATTCTTCTAGAAGGTTCTTTTCATTCCTAGTTCAATTAGCATTGATAAGTTGATTTTGTTGACTTTTCAGAGTTTTAATTAAAACCAAATAGCATTTTCGAAGAAATTATATAATTTTATCCTCCAATACGGTAAACTTATCGGATTTTCGAAAACGCGTTAAAGTCAAGCTTGGCGTCCAACCCCAGGCCTTGGCGCCTGGAACCAGGCTTGGCGCCTGGCGCTAGTTATGATTATAATCGTAATCTTGCAATTATTATGCTTTAATATTAACATGAACATGATTATGATTATAATCGTTATAATTTTTTATTATGAATATTATTATGAATATTATTATTATTATTATTATTATTATTTTGATGATAATTATTTTATTTATGATGATATTATTATTATTATAATTATTATTCATGATATTGATTATTTATTGTGTTGCTTGATTATTTATTGTTATTTATTGCTTGATCACCTTTTATGCATGTTAAAGGGAATTGGTATTTGTAATCACGCTTAATAAGATAATTAATAATCTTATTTAGGGTTAAATGTGATTATAATTCAAGTGATCGCCAATAATAGATTTATTTGTGCATTAAATTCAACCAACATAGATAAACAAGTTTAGGGTTAAACCTATTGATTGTATGTTAATTAAAAAGCGCACATGAATACGATCAGAATAAAGTAGAGGCCTATTATTAGGGCAGGTTCAATCTTTTTTAGGTTAGATTTGTACCTTCATCCCCGAACCCTTATTTGGTTCATGACCTTATGGAGTTGACGATCTCTTGGATCGTTAAGGGGTGTAACCTTCACCTCGTGAATGGTTTACAAGTTCCTAAAAAAACTTAGTGGCGACTCTTTTGCTCTATCTTATTCCCTTTTGGACGCCACCGTACTTTAGTGTATGATCACAGTGGGGTTCAAGTTAGTGGGATTTTAAAGACTTGAATTATTCCCTACAGTTTTTGGCGACTCCGCTGGGGAGGATTTCTATTTTAATTCCTAAATTTGTTTCGGCAATGATTTAGAATGAGTGGATGAGACTCGAAAAGTTCTAAGTATTTCATGTGCGTAATTTTGATTAACATTATTGTCATATGCATAAAAAATATCTCATTGGAAAGACCATCCGTAATGAGTTCAAAACATAGGATTTTACACGTAGGAAATTTGAGGAATTTCTTTCACAACTAGGACTGAAATAACACCGCGCGAAACTGAAAAATTTTATCGAGCACAGAAAGTTGCTGAGGCATGTGGGAAGTAGCGTCAGGGGCCAGAGCTTGGCGCCAGACTTTTAGCCGTAGCGCCTGACGCCAGTATTGGCGCCAGGCGCTACAATTAAAAGCTGGCGCCAGTCTCTGATTGCTGGCGCCAATTTCCCCCAATACCGAGCCAGAAATATGCGTTCTAATTTCGACCGGTTTTTCGTACTGTTTGCTCGATCCTACTTCCTGATTGAATTTTTTCTCACTTTTCTGAAACCCATATGTGTTCTACATATGGACATAACCCTCTGGGAATTCATGCTCCATCTACCCGATTGAACGCTCCGTGCAACAAAGGGTACATCCGAGATTGTTGAATTCACCAAACCATGGAAGCGAGCTTTTTCTAAAACTCGCGGTGTCCCATCCACTCGCGCCAACCCTTCACGGTTAGGCTTCCGCGCGGTGCATCCGGACAATTAACCATGAAACCTCTATTGACTAAACCATATCCCGAACTTTAGAGAACTAGAGCCATGGTTAGGTTGCAAATTCATTGCATCATATTGTGCCTACTTGACTAATTGTGCATTATTTGTTGTGCATATTCTATGTGATTTTTCCTAACCGTTTGTTTGACTTGTATCAAAACTAAATAAACTGATTAATGACTAAAGGACTTTGTTTAATTAATTAATTAATTAATTTGAGCTAATAAATAAACATAAAATCGAGTCAAAGTTCCTTTAAGTCAACCCGGATTTTTATTCCCGTATACTGCACAAGCGTCAATTAGTTTTGGTCATAGCCGGAGTTCTAGGAAGAACTACGAGTCGTACAACCTATGGATCTGTAGTCCCAAGTTTGTTCTTTATTTTGGCGTTGGTTTCATCCCAGTCAGAGTCGCAGATAAAAAGGTATGACTAAAATACCACAATCTGTCAAGTTTAATGCATATACGTGAAGTCTTTACTTAGTCTTTGCTTGAGTCTAGTCACATAGTCTAGCCACATGGTCATGACACGAGTCTTAACATGCCACCTACACTCACTAGTCTTAGCACACACTTTGAGTGCACATCACCAAAATCCGGTGCTCATAAACTAGAGCCTTTTATCTCCCTAAACGTAAGTTTTTGTTAAATCTAATTTCTTTTACATGATCTTTTATTACTGAATTAAATTTATTTTTTAAGAAAATTAATAAAATTTGTCGTTTTGTTATCAATTGTTATATCTATTACGGTTAAATATAATAAAATGCTTTTTTTTTTGGTTGGGGCTAATTTAATAATGATTTATGATTATATTATTGATCATGCTTTAGTCCATAATTTTCATGTTTTGATTTGTTATTATAATTAACTAAATTTTTATTCTCTTTATATTTTAAAGTGCTTTATTTAGATTATGTGTTTATACGCATAGATTAAAATCTAAATTGAATATTTTTCAAGGTGATCGGGTAAAGTTTTAACACCTCTAAAAACAGAGATAAGTATTCCAACTATTATTAAATGCATTTTTTTTATTATGGGCTTATGGCCTTGTTCACTTCACCTTAAAAAAATATTCAATAAAAAAAATTCAGTTTAATAAAAATAAGTTCAGCTCACTAAAATTAATTTCAGTTGAGTAAAAATAATTTCAACTTAGTAAATATTGATAAGTTTAAAGGAAAAATATAATTTCAATTCAGTAAAAATAATTTCAGTTCAGAAAATTAATTTTAGTTCAGTGTAAATAATTTTAGTTCAGCAAAAATAAGGTGAAGTGAACGGGGTCATATGTCTCCTTCTTCTCTCTAGGTGAAGGAGGAAAAAAAAAATATTACTCATTAAACTTAAATGTGTTCTATTCACAACTTATCTTAATTTTTATCTTATCTAAAATTTCTTATTTGAGTTTACAAACTTATTACCGTGATCCAAACTACATTTTTCCTTTTGAAATAAGTGGGAAAATACATTGAACTAAAACAAGGTTTAGAAAACACATGAAATTGATGTTCACAAAGTAATACGGATAGAGTCGGTCATAAAAAATTGAGACGTTTGGACAGCGACTTGACTAGCTGTCTTAATCCCAATTTGAAAGGGAAAAAAAAAGTTTGACTATGTTCATTTATGCTTAATTTCAATCAGTTGAATTCATTTCAGCTCCAATTAATTCAGTTCAGTTCAATTTAACTCCTAATTTCCTTCTCTCGTAAAATATTCATTTTAGCTCAGTTAAGTTCAGTTTTATTCAGTTCAGTTCACTTCAGCTCAGTTCAGTAAATGTGAACATACCCTAAGTCGAGTTTAATTCTATATATTAAGAATATAAGATGTAATTGAGATTAATGTGCAATAGATGATAAATAGTACATACTACTAAACCTGGGCACGGGCCGGGTTGGCCCGCGTGCCGCCCGGCACGGCCCGCCGTTCGGCGCAGCCCGGCACGGCCCGAATTCAAGCACGGCACGACACGAAGTTCAACTCCCGTGCCACGGGCCGTGCCACGGACAGGGTTGAGAATTCTCAGGCACGGCCCGGCACGAGCACGGGCATGGCCCGCTGTGCTGGCCCGAAGGCACGGCCCGCAGCCACGGCCCGCGGGCCAACGGTAATGTTACCGTTTATTCTAGCTCCTTATTAAGCCAAAAAAACGGCTAAAAAACGGCTAGTTTTTTGCCAATTTGCTCCCCAAAAATTCTATAAATACTCACCTCCATTTCATTCCCAAATCACAAAATCACAATCTCTTCTTCTTATCTCTTATATTCTCTAAATCTCT